TCTTTTCATTATGTATATTTGTCCGAATAGTGGGGTTCTGTGTTGTTTGGAATTCCGCAAGATTTGACGTCATCTGTTACGGCGCTCACTGGCTGACTGCAGCGTGATGGCGCGGGGCTTGTTGATCTCGCTCTCGCTGAATTTCTGACCATTATCGCATGCTCCCATCCGCTCCTGCGATTTTTGTGTGCGCTCCCGCAAACATTCTAATGTATATTATTTTCGCGCATCAGGGCGCCACTATCAATATGCGGCGTATTTAAACCCCTTTTGAATGAGCGCTCGCAGTCGCAGTTCACTTTCACTTCATGCGCACTGTGTAAAGGGAGCACATCTTACGATAAAAGATATTTGTCAATGAGCTCGGGATCTGTTGAGGAGCAAATCCTCCAACATCTTGTCAGTTATCTCTCCTTACTTTTGACCCGTGATCAGGCAAATCTGACTTCTGCAGCTCGTGTTGGATGCAGGGTTGTTGTTGTTGTTTTTTTTCCACGAAATTGGGCTGCTTTTAAACCGTTGCCATGGGATGATTTTCCCCAGTGGGTTAAAGGTTTAAAATATTGCATAAATTACATTTGGTTGAAATGCTTGTACTGAAACATTTTGCATTCTACCTTTAATAAAACTGTGCTAAATGTTTTGGGCCACACTAGTAGGAAGCATTTGAGCTGTGTTTATGATTCTTAAAAGGTATTACATTTAACTCCATGATTCCTGTATATACCCTGTATTAACTAACCATCAGCAAACTAGTTTACTAATTTACAAACATTTAAATGTAGGCAGATTTTCATTTAAATGAGTCATCTGCATACACTTTCTAGAGATTATAGCAGCAGTATTTTATCAGATGATGGAGAGTAGGGTAGCCAAGGGCATTTTAATGAGCCAATTCAGGTGATCACACTGCTGTATAGTCTCAGTAAAGTATGCTAGATCGTGTGTGTGGGTAGCTGGGCAATTCTTATCTAAGTATTGTGTTACCAAAAAAGTGTTATTGTATATCAAAAAAGAAATATGAGTAAGTATCATATCTGCCTAACACACTGTATAGTAGATCTACCTTCTTTTCTGTATTTACGGGCATGGCATAAACACAAGAATAAGACATTAGCTTTACAGAATTTGCAAGAATGTGGTTTTGAACATTGATTTTCATGTATTTGCTTAATAATGGATAATGCGTCTTTCCGTGTCCTTTACTAATATATGCACTCTTGGTAAATGTGAACAAATCGTCTTTGGAAAAATGTCTTTGCTGTTTATCTTATTGGTTTTTCATTCAAAATACACTTTTTTTAAAAATTGAAATAAAATAATTGAAGGGGGAAGAAAATTCAAAATACATATTCTTTAAATATATGTGTGCCACAATTATTGGCCACCAAAACCCACATATGTTTCTTCTACTTCTTCTATCTGTAATTTTTTCTAAAAAAATAAAAAAGCTGTGTTTTGGTCACGCAATAAATAGCAATGGTTCCAGTGAAAGTCCCAGTAATGTTTGGCAAACTGCTAGTGCTTTTGTTGTGTGATGACATCAAAGGCCTAATTATGCAACCCTCTCAAACAAGTTTATGGTTATGTAGGTGGTGTCTGATTGAAGTGATGGAGAATTTTTTCATGGATCAATCACTTTTAAATGAGCATTTCAACCGTTGTCTTACAGAATAGCCATTTCCTTATTTGTGTGACTCAGCATCTTCTGTCACTCATTGCTGTATTCTGGGGTCTTTATGAGAATAGGAATTTGCCCTTTATCTCACATCATATGTAAAACCCAGTGCCACTTAAGTGATTTACTGACTCAAGTAAACTTTAAAAGGTACTATATGAAGAGGAATTTACTTCAGTTAGATTTTATTCATAAGAATTTTTAGAGGTGCCAATAATTGTGACACACTTTTTGAAGAAAATATATTTCTATTTAATATTTATTTATCACATTTTTAATTTTTATTACTTCAATTAAAGGTTGTAACATTTTTTCACAGTATGTTATGTTCACAATTACCAAGCGTGCCAATTTTAGTGGGTTGCACTTAATACCAAAAGCATGTAGCAGTTGTAGTAGTGTGTGATCAGAAAATGCAGACAATGCTCTGTGCTCTGTCCTGCAGCCACAGACGGGCGTTACCGGGGTTTGAGAGATGTGTTAAAAACACTGTTACGGGAGGAAGGAGCCCATGCTCTCTACAAAGGCTTGAGCGCAGTCATGTTACGAGCATTTCCTGCTAATGCGGTGAGAAAACATACTCATGCTACCAATACATTTTTCAGTATCAGCACTTCATTTGCCTATTGTCATGAAAACGTTTATTACAGAGTTCTAGTAAAGTTGTATAAAATGGTTTGGTGAGCCGTTTAGGATTTTATGGATTTTTGACTAAATATATCTCAGTTGGTCACAGCGGTTGATAAAAACAGTAACAAAATCTGCCATATAAATATGCCATATAAAAGTATTTATATATTCTGCCTTCACGTGCTTTCAGAAATGTCCTACCTCCCACTTCTAATGTCATAATTAAGAGTTTGTCGCTTTCAGGTTTTTTTTGTTGTTGAAAAGATTAGGAATCATGGAGCTCATTTCAGTTTATGCCCCAGTGTCTTTCATGTGGGACAGTTACTGTATTTACAATAGTCAAGTCAAGTCACCTTTATTTGACTCATAAATTCTTATGAACTGACAATAGACTACTCTAGAGCTCCATTTGCCTTTTCAGCTATTGAGTGGTTATATCAAGTCATAATAGCTACATATTTCTTTAAATATTTTTTTTATGTTGATTTGTTACTTTCTTTTCAATTGATAAATTAATTGTACATCTGCTCTTTTACCATAGGTTTGCCCACACTATCATAAAAGTCTATCATTAAAGCTACTTTTTGTAATGTCTATTCAATGCTTTTCTCATTTAACACAATAATGACTTTAATCTTTTGGGGGGTAATTGCTTAGCCAAAACGGATGAATGATAAATTAGAATCATTAAAATAATCGGCACATCATGTAATTAATTAGATTAAAAAAAATAATCGCTTGACAGCCCAAGCTTAATTAGTAGAATTAAAGGCTCCATGAGTTAGATCTGATCATCTGGTCACCAAGTCTCTTTGAGCACAAACATATGGACATGTAGCAACATAAAACAGACTTTTATTAATATAATATTCTGATTAATTCTCAAACTTCCTGCAGTTAAGGTAAATCATGCTGCTTTGAGGCCCCTGCCAGTCTCTTGACTGGCCTTTTGCAGATCTTAGCTCTACAGAGCAGCATATAAAAACACATTTACATTTAGATACACTCATAGAACATTTGTAAGATTTGTAATCCAATTCAAACACATTTTGCAAACCTTTAGTCAACACTGGCAAACCATATTTTGGCTGTGTACTTGCAGAACGATGCAGACACACCACTGTAGAACAACAGACGCAAAAACTAACAGTGCGTAGAGGCTCCAGTGTAGGTCTGATGGGCCCCATAAACTGCTAGTTAGAGAACTTGTTATACGATAACCAGGGTAGGAAAAACAAGGTACCCTGTTCTGTTTCAACTTATTCTTATTCCGTCACCTACAGGTGAAATACTGACAATTCTAAATTGTTTACAAACATTTTCTCACAACTGTGCATTTTGTAATAGGCCAATGATACATTTTCCATTCTACATTTGATATTCAACGTATTCTGAATGCTAAAATGAGTGTTAATATGTTTTGAAATTTTCTTCTCTTAATAGTGTTACTCTCTCTGTTTGTCCTGCTTGCAGGCTTGTTTTCTAGGCTTTGAGGTTGCGCTAAAGTGCTTAAACTACATTGCTCCAGACTGGTGATTTCACAGTTACGACTGATACGACTGATATTTGAATACCATTTTTTTTTCCATGTAGCATTGTTTTACAGCCCTTTTTGGTGTCATTTTAGACATTTTTCATTTGCATGTCTTCAGTAAGGGGCAGAAAGACTTAGATTTGTATGTTTTCTCTTTTCTTTACCATTTAATTTAGAACATATGACAGAATTCTGTGCCTTATCCAAAGAAAGTTTACAGTAACGTATGTTACTTTTGAATGATGCTCTCTTACATATGTCTCTCTTATTTGTTATCTTATGCTAATTATTTTCAATTGAATAATTGTAATAATAAAATTATAAAAGCAAATATAAAAATTAATAATATGTAATTTTTAATTTCTGGATGTTTGAAATGTATTGGTTTTGCATTAAAACCATGTCTTTAAAATTGTTTTGAATGCATTAGTGGAACTGTCATGAAAAGAAAGAAGAAAGATGTTCCTGTGGCTCAGTGGTAGAGCATTGTGTTGGCAGCACAAAAGGTCGAGGGTTCAATTCCCAGGGAACACACATCACACTTGCTTTGGATAAAAGCGTCTGCTAAATGTGTAAATTATTATTAAATTAGAAAGAAAATCATGCATTAACTCTCATGTGAGATTATTTTCTACTTCAGTGTATAAAAAAATTATAGTAATTGTAGACCAATTACTATGTGTGCAAATCACAATCTTTGTATCGTACTGTATATATAGCTGGTTACCTTTACAACAGGTCACTTGCATCTCTATGTAAACTGTATGATGATAAATTTATTAAAAATGAAAAATTGTAATATCACTCTGATGTAAGTATTCAGACTCTTTATTCTTGTGGGTGCTGTCAGACTCTGTTTCGTGTCTGTGTGTGTTTTCTTCCCCCACGTGCTCCAGCTTATGTTCATGTCCTTATTTGGTCTTCCTGTTCCTGTCCTGATTGTGCTTCCAGGTGTTCCCCCTTTAGTTCTATTGTTCCCAGGTGTGTCCCATTAGCTCCCTTATTATTTAAGCCGTGTGTGTTTCCATTCTTCCTCGTCTGGTATTGTGAATGTCTGTTTATGTCTATCTAATCTGCTACGTGTGTTTTCCTGGTTATAATTAAAATCTGCTGTGTTGATGTACTTCTGGTCTCCTCGCTCCTCGCTCCACGCTCCAACACAGTAGCAACGTGACAGAATACCGGACCAAAACAGTGAGCGGCGCCTCTTCTCCCCGTGTTTTTTCCCCCCGTTTTATAAAGTGTTTTTGTTTTCCCGTTTGTTTCTCCCTGCATCATGGAAATCGCCGCTCGATTCATCGCCATAGCCCGTAAGAATCTCCCCTTCGTCGAGTATGCCTGGGAGTTCTGCGGGCTCGCCGCTGCGATGGCTTTAGATGACGCCACGCTCAACTCTCTGTTCAGGATCGGGGCCAATTGCTATCGCCCCGTGGACCTCCCAGACACCACAGGACTGAGCTGGAGGGAAGGGATCCTCAGGTGTCTGGAGAGCGTCCAGCCCCATTCCAGAACCAGCCCGCCGGCCGTTCCGATGTCAAGCCCGCCGGCCGTTCCTCAGTTCCGCCCTATTCACCCGTAATCAGAAATGGAGGAAGAGGAGAAATGGAGGAAGAGGAGAAATGGATGGCTCGGGGCCCTCTTCCTCGCCCGAGTGTGCCCAGCCCCAGAGTTCGCTCCAGTGTCGGCTCCAGCCCCCGAATCCAGCCCAGAGAGGGCTCCAGTCCCCGAGTTTAGCCCAGAGAGGGCTCCAGTCCCCGAGTTTAGCCCGGTGAGGGCTCCAGTTCCCGAATTTAGCCCAAAGAAGGCTCCAGTCCCCAAGTGTAGCCCAGAGAAGGCTCTAGTCCCCGAGTGTAGCACAGAAAGGGCTCCAGTTCCCATGTCGAGCCCAAGGAGGGCTCCAGTCCCCAAGTCAAGCCCAGGGCTTGTTCCCGAGTTAGGCCTACGGAGGGCCTCTAAAGACGATATTCTCCCCAAGGATTTTTTTTGGGGGGGTAGTATGGGTCTGTCCGTAGTGGCCGGGCCGAGTGGCGAGGCCAAGGCTACGGAGGCCATCCCTGTTCCGCCGTGGCTCCCCGAGGTCCCTGTTCCGCCGTGGCTCCCCGAGGTCCCTGTGCCGAGGACTGCCTGATCCACCCTGGAGGTATTCCCAGTCCTGCACCAACCTCCAGGGCGCCCTTATTATTTAAGCCGTGTGTGTTTCCATTCTTCCTCGTCCGGTATTGTGAATGCCTGTTTATGTCTACCTCATCTGCTACGTGTGTTTTCCTGGTTATAATTAAAATCTGCTGTGTTGATGTACTCCTGGTCTCCTCGTTCCTCGCTCCGCGCTCCAACACAGTAGCACCGTGACCGGTGCGATGCGTCAAGCTTTACATACCTGGAGTTCTGAATCAAAAACAATGGCTCTGTAATATTAACAGTGAAATAAATGATGGTGGAGACCTATTACTCTCTTCAATTTCAACTTGTTCTTAGGGAAAATTTAGTTTTAAAGTAGTATTATTAAATAGTATTATAACCCCTTTGGTATGGTCTAGATGGGGGAACATTTACAAATAGCAACAGATTTAAGCATCATTGTAATAGATCATTTACAATAAGGAGTTAAATAATGGAATAAAGAGTTGAACAAGGAAAATTAATAGTAGCAAATTTAGAATAAGGAGTTGGTTTGCCAGTGGATGTTAAACAACCTTTTTTTCCCCGATGCTATTTTTGTTACTGCAAACCCTGAAAGTATAATGTGAGTGAGATTATATGGTGACAGCTGTCCCTTAAGGCCCATTCTGTAGCGAGGACATACAGTCTGAGCTGAAAACTGTGTGAAACTTATTAGGAGACAACTTATGTATATTTGTAAAAAAAAAAAAAAAAGTATTAAACCAATGTTTAGAAATGTTACTATTTAAGTCTTTAAAAAATAAGGGCCACCCTAATACACACACTAGTTTTTATGTTTTATGGGGACATTTCATTGGCGTAATAGTTTTTCTACTGTCCAAACTGTATTATCTATCCACTTACCCAAACCCTACACCTAAACCTCACACAAAACACTCTGCATTTGTAGATTTGAAAAAAGATTACAAAAAAGATCATTGTGTATGATTTATAAGCTTGTTTCCTCACGGGGACCAAAAATGTCCATACAAGGTCAAAATTTACTGGTACTATCCTTGTGAGGACATTTGGTCCCCATAACGTAGGGAATACCAAGCACACACACACACACACACACACACACTCCCTTACGAAAATTAACCATGGCTTTACTAAAAAAAAAAAAAAAACGTTATTAAACCATGGTAACCACAAATTAACCATGGTTTTGAATCACTAACCACAGTTTAACCATGGTATTTGTAGTAAAAATGTGCTTTTACACATGGTAATCAATATGCCAAATAAAACATGGTTACAACACTTTTACTATAACAAAACCACGGTTATTTTCATAAGGGCACACGCACACATAGTTGGTTAAGTCTATATTTCAGTTATTTATTTATTTAAAAGTAATCATGTGTAAGCTAAAATGTGTAGCCTCAAGCTCTGACGCTGACTAATCCGTAAAATGAAGCCCTTGGTTTCTGCGTTTATGACAGAACATTGTAATTATACTATACAACATTTAGATTTTTATGCTTCGCGCCAGACTTTTAAGTGTGACTTATTTTATTATGCCCCCCACTTCCGCATGTGACATAAAGTGTGAAAGAAAAACGTGCTTCAGCAGTCCCTCCACACTCTTTTTCGTCTTTTTAATATAATATCATCACTTTTATGTTTTAAGATTGATGTGGCGTTAATATAAAAGTGAAAACGTGAAGGTCGAGGAAACTAATCACGGCAAGATAGGAATTAAGATATGTTTCCTGTGGGTTCCAGCACATGCGGGAGTGGATGATTTAGCCAAACAAGCGCTGAAATGATCACATATAGAAATTAATATTCCACTAAGCAAAGAAGTTAAGGCTAAAATTAGAGCAGCAATAAAAATGAAATGGCAAGAACTTTGTAATACGGAGGAGAGAGGAAGACATCTTTATCATATTCAAAATCAAGTTGGGGTTGAAAGAGTTAATTTTGGTAGTAGAAGAGAAGATACAATCATTACCAGACTTCGCATTGGTGTTGGCATTGGTCTTCGCATTGACTTCGCATTGTGTGGATGAGCAGAAACAGTAGAGCATGTACTATTACATTGTTCTGCTTATGATAATGAAAGGGCAATTCTTATGGAAGAAAAGAGGATAGAAAATATTACACTTAAAACTCTGTTGAATAATGGCTTGATTCATTATAAAACATATAATGCTTTAATGACATACTTTAAAAAAAGTACCGGTAGATCTGTTTTTTTAATTATTGATTTAGTCATTCCTATTCCATCGATGGTCCAGACTCCAGCCCAGTAGGTGGCGGGAATGCACCTATCGTTTGTTTGCCAAACGCCATAAAACTCCAAAAGAAGAAGAAGAACTAATGACGACTACAAAACTACAGCTCCCATGATCGCTCGCGGTGGTATAGTACTTCCGGAGCAGCTGCATTTCTGCGGCCATCGGCTGACGGCACGGAAGGTGGCAGGGTTACATTTTCTTGATTTTACTTTTTACAATGAAACAAATTCACATTACAATTTAACGTTGCCGTTACAGAAAAGCGGCGAACAATTAACTACACCCATTAGTCAATTCGGTCATGTATAATTACCCTGTTTACATAAGTTTACGTTTAAAATGTGGAAGTTTCTTATTGTTTGACTAAAGCAGATTTTATGTCATGTTTGTTTTTTCGCAGTGTTTTGTGTTTTCACACATCACGCTATTTCTCAAGGTTGTGTAATTTGTGTTTACAGCTGCCACACTGCTCTGTTTTTATTTGGACATAAAGCTCCTGCTTATGCTAAACAGATCTATCCCAAAAGTATTGCTATATCTGATTCATCCGGAGCAAATATATACTCAGCAGCTGAACTGTATCCCTGCCAGTAGATATGTCTGTTCTTAACAGATGATAACCAGTGTATTCTCTCTGTCTTCGCTGT